TCTTAAAAATTCTGACTTTTTATTAACCAAAACTATTAATTAACCAAAAATGAATTAATTTTTTATTTCATCTACCAAGCTAGTATACAATTAATTGCTTTTGCATATGTAAATAAACAAAAACAAACAAAAAAATCTCATGGAAAATTAAGGCTGGAGAATATATCAATGTATATAGTTGACTGTATTTTTTTATAAGGTAATGTTTTTGGGGGGTTTTTTTTACACATTTTTTTGTTGTTTTACTTAAAACTTTAGATTTTTTTTTTTTCAACCAAACCAATCAATTAACCAAAAATGAAGTAATTTAACAAATATTCTCTTTTTATTTCATCGATAACACTGGTATATAATTTATTGCTTTTGCACATGTAAATAAATCAGTTTCTACTTATTTGACTGACTATTGTGAATTTTGCCTTTTCTTTAATGGAGGGTCTGAATACATTTGAGGACGACTGTGGCCTATTTAATGTGATCCTTAGATAACTGATTTATTTTATTATTTTTTTTAAACTTCCGTTTTCTTGGAAAGTAGATGTCTACATAATATTAGATGTAACTAACGGGCAACAATCCCAAGAAGAATAAATCACAATTAAGATGGAGTTTAAAACACAAAAATCTCTTTTCCATCCAAGCTTTGAGAACTTGACTCAGCCGGTTCTAAAACTGGCAGGAAATCCTTGTGCTCATGTAGGACCGTTTCTCGCAGATAAAAAGCTGACTGATGTTTAATGTGTTTAGGTTCTTTGACAGCAGAGTGAGCTGAACAGTGTGTCCTGCCTCGGTCATGATGGTGGTATAACTCTGACATCAGTTCATGCAGCCTTGATGTTCACAGTGATTGATTTCACAACTGAAGCCAGCGTCCATTGTCTGTAAATGGATTTTATATTGTACAGAAGTGAAAGAAACCGTGAGTCAGGTGTGGTTGTGATTTACAGCCAAGCAGCTGAAACAGAAAACCTGCTACAAACTGAACTGAGGGTGCCGAGTTCAAAAGACAGCAGCATTTATCAGGTGTGGAAGGATCTCAGGATACGTTGGCTCTCCTCTGTCAATCCTGACTGCTCGTTTTGTGCTTTTTTTTGTCAATGAAAATGCTTCTCTTTAACCTGTAATTACCTCCTTGGGGTCGTACTCTTCTTGCAAGTTGCAGTTTGTCTGTCCAGACCGAACCCTTTAGATATAACATGTCATCACTGTAGACGTTTGTGTGAAAGTTTGTCATCATTAATATTCTTGCGTTGTGGCCAAAACTGTGTTTTCTGAGGCCACAGTGACGTCAGACAACCAAAACCAAACCAGCTCATCCTGGATTCCAAGTGAATTTGATCAAATATCAAACCTCAGCTAACGCCAGAATCGAAGCATAAAAATAAATCAGCTCCTAGACGGACACACACACATAACAGTGTCATCGGAGACCTTTCCAGAATTCCAGCTTTATTGTGACAGTTCATACAGACATCAAACAGCCCTCCGGAACAAGCAGAAAACCTTCTTCAGTTAACTGACGTGAAGCTACACTGACTGTTCCCTCCTGGACACCCAGAGGCTGGAACCAGCGGCCTGTAAACACTGTGAAGCTCGGTCATCCCTGAACAGGAGGGACTGCGGTTGAATCTCAGTAGTCTTTCCCTGTTTCCTCGCGTTTGTCAATTGAAGGAATCAAAAAATCTCATTGAAACGGTACCTGTAGACACTGTCCGAAACACTCTACAAAGCCTCTACGCGGTTCTCATGAAAAGTGTTATGTGCCTTCTTTTGTGTCGACAGTCCTATTTACAAACCTACCCTGCCTGGCTGGCTGCACACATTGCTGATCTTCCACAAACCAATAAGTCATCGATAATTATTAAAATAAGCTTCACATCAAGAGCAAAAAGGTAAAACCAAAAGCAGGCAAATTCAAAAATCAGTTAGGTCACTTCTCTGCCCAGATTGGCACGGCGATGCCAACACAGGGGGGAAAATAAAAAAAACAAGAACAAGGCCGTCATTGAACACAAGCAGGGCCACTGCTCTGACTAGTGTAGAGCCCGATCCGAAAACCTGTTTATTCATCAAGGAGGTCCACATGTCACCATGTGGGCTGAATTCAGAGATGTAAGGTGTCCTCAACCACTAAAGCACTAAATTACAGCAGCGGTCCAAGTGACGGACGGGGAGGAACTCTTCCCTCTCCAACAGAAACGATAATACTGAAATAGAACATTTCAATATGCAACAAGTCAATATATTGAAATATACAACCTCTTACATCCATATATTTCAATATACAAATCAAATAGATAAGAAAAAAAGTATCATACCGTACAGTGTGGTGATGAAGCTGTGTACTGACTGATGGGACACTACTGACCCCTGAACAGTGGGAAAGAGACATGAGGAGTCGTTGTCTTACTGTTAAATATACTGATTAGCCTTTTACCTGAGTGTGGGCTATCGTCTCCAAAGGGGCGAAAAAAAAAAACAACCAACTGTTGTGTTCAAATCTTGTGTTGTCTCACATTCACACACACGTGTACTCACGTCACACACGAAAAGGTACAGCTAAGAGGCTCGCAGGAGTACCGGTTTAAATAGTCGATATAAACACACCCAAAATCGTCTTTTTCTAAAATGATAATTATCTTTGGAGAGAGAGAAAGAGAGAGAGAGAGAGAGAGAGAAATGAAATCTATAAAGAGATCAGAGCTCCTTTCCATATCTCCACCTGTCCATGTGGCAGGAGCCTCCTGAAACCTCTCTGAGTTTCTGGGTGGAGTGTTCCAAGGAAATGAAGAGCGTCCAACAAGTTAGTCTTTTGTTTTTTTTTCTTTTTTTTGTTTTTTTTTTTGCATAGCCAGACAGTGGGCACGGCCACTGCAACCACGTCAAGAGTTTCAAAAGGAGAGCTGTCATCACGAGTGGGGAGCCTTGGTCCATGTGTAACCCCTTTGTACCGGCTGGCCCGGGGATGTTTAGTTGGTCTCCCTCAAAGGTGCAGCATCCCGCTCACAAGGTGGACTCTTTCTGGCGCTCGCGTCCGTTAGACGTCTTCTTGACTTTGGAAATCCCCTCCAGTGCCCCCGACTCTGTCACTCTACACAGAAACAAACACAATCAACAGTTACACAAGTCTTACACAACTCAAAGCATGATGGGAAAAAATATCAACTAATATTACAATATTTGTTATATAATGAGAAAAACAAACCCAGTATTACACTAAGGCTTATAAAATCACTTCTTCAAACACATTTTCTGGACTTGCTTTAAGTGATGTTGTCTCTTTATTGCTTAACGTGACTTCATTGATCCACACATTGCAGAGGAAGCAACAGAGAAGAGGTACATTTAAGGCATTTTAAGGAAGGAAGGAAATGTTTTCAAGGCAGAAACTAAGTGTCAGAGTCTTTAGGGGTTGCATCAATGACTGAGGACCAGTTCTGGGTCTTTCACCAGAGTGGTTATAGGTACCTACATCTCAAAGACATGCTTCTTTCCCCATGTGCACTGTACAGACACTGTGTGGGGCATTTAGCTCAGATAATCCTCAGCGAAACAGAAGGAGTAAAAGCATTCTGGGGTTTAAAGGGGTGAAATAGAAGATGCAGGCTCGTACAGACGTGTGCGCTTACACTTCATCCATCTCTACGTCTTCCTCGTCCTGGGGAAGCTGGAGGTAGGGGTTGTTGGACGCCGGTCGGAACTTGTAGCCCGTCAGCACAAAAAAGATCAGAGTAGACACCTCCACCAGAAACTACAAAAAAAAAAAACAACAGAGTTTGTGTTTAAGGTAAGAAAGAACGTTAAGATGTGAACTAAACAGGAATATTGCTCATAACAGCATCTGGCCTACAGCTGACAGCTACATCCCTCCTCCCAGTCAGCTCGCAGTGAACCTCATATGACTGGCATTCGTCTATTCAAACAGAAAAGTTAGCCCCTGTGCCGTTACTCATCCTTCAAATATGCTAACATCCTGTCAGTCCTGCAGGGAAACAATGGTGGTATTGACCATTTGTAACAACGCAATAAAGGACTTCAAATAAGTGATGTGTACTCAAACAGGAAATCAGGAAATTCTGCCCAGTCACTGCTGATTCATACACAAGTACAGAACGCTACTGTGCGATGTCATTATTGTCTTACCTCATAACACCACTGCCACTGGAAAGGCATGGTGATCTTGAGCAGAATGGCTATGATCCTCGTGAAGTAGATGTAACACACGATCTGAAACCCAAAAAACACCATTTAAGATAAAGACACAACGCTTGAAATAATGCAGTTTTTAAAGTACGCTACAATCTTCCCACTCTAGCTCAGGGGGAGTAAACACTGCTGCACAAAACACATGCTATCGAAAAGATCAGAAAGCGTTTGTGGTTGTTAGCAAAGTTTTTGTTCCGGCTCTGCAGCAGTGACTCTGCTGAATCAGAAGCCTGGAGAGGCCTTTGCCAAATGCCGTGACTCAGTAGAACTCGCTGTTCGCAGAAAGCTTAACACCAGATAATAAAAACAGGACAGATTAAAAATATTAAAGCAACAGCAGCAGCATCATCGACAACTTGGGTTTCAGTGTTAAGCTACCAATACTGTGGCTGGCGATTGTAATTTCACCGGCAATCTAGCGACGGTCAGATGTTGCAAATGGACTGAAGGTCAAAGAAAAAGAGAACTACACAGCTCGAGTCTTTCTTACCATCACATAATAATGCCGGAAGAGTTTGAGCTTCTCCAAATTCATGGCGGCTGAAAAAACAAAAACAGAGCGTATTGCCACATAAATGATCAACTGTGCAGCTCATAAAACCTTGTGGCTGTAACTGATCAGGAGTCTCACCTTTGCCATCGGTGCTCGATGCCTCTTGTAGGTGACGGATTGACCTTTAAAGATGGGACATTTTGAAAAACATAAATTATAAGTGCCGACTGATGGAAAACGTTATTTCCCATTATTAAAAAGCTTACGTACATGGTCTATGTGCTTGATTAAATTTTTAATGGAAAAAAAAAAAATCAATGAAGCCTCTTTCCATTAATCTGGAGACATCTGAATGTGCTGCCGTAACGTCTGGAGCACTTTTCTGTAAAAGGCTGCATGCAGTTAACAGATAGTACAAGCGACATACTTCAAGATGTTTGACGCTATTACGAGAAGGCTTTCTACCTTTCAGCACTAGATGTGTGGCAAACAAAAAAGAAAACATGTGTTCACTTTGCACTGCAAGTTGGCATCTATTACAAACTGTCATGTCCATAAGAATAAAAGTTCGCTGTGATGAAGACAGAGACTGTGAGGGGCCTCCCATAATAACCAATAATCTGTGTGTCGACTAAACATTAACAGGTGCTGAAGTTTAGTTTGTTGCTGCTAGAAGTCTATTCTCAGCATTTAGTAAATTCCTGCAGCATCAAACAACAGCAGGATCAATACAAGCGTCTCCAAAGCGAGACAGTCACACACATAAGAGACAACAACATCATGAATGACTTATCAGGGCTCCGGACTGCCAACAAAATGGCTGCATTCACAATCTTTTTTTTTTTGAGAGTGTTCAAGTTAAAATTTCAGCGCATCAGAATCAGAAAGCTTTATTGTCACTGCACCAAGTAGAACAACGAAGTTTGCTGTGCCTAAACTAACACTATGCATCATTCACACACTCCTCATTCACTTGTGCATCACTAGTGTGCATGATGCTCATGAAGCTGTGTTGGTGTCACGGTAACTGGCAGCTGCTGTGTTCACCACAGTGGTGGAAAGCAGCACTTCTATAACTTTGGTGAACTGCGCTATTTACGCTTAAAAATGAGGTCTTCTCATGAAAAACGGAGCGCACCTGCATCCGCTGTTCTTTCTGCTCATAGAAGAGCGCGCATATCAAAAAAATAAATAAATAAATCACTCCATTTCAATCTGACATTAGAACGCCCTAGTTTACTCTTTTCTAAAGTCAGTTTTGGTCACACACCTGTCTGAGCACCACATGTACCAACAGCAGCTACCGCAGCCTGCTATGTGGGGCGTTTAGGGAACACGGGTAAATTGTAGAGTCTATCGATAAGAAAATGTTCAGCAAGTCATATGTTTTGCTTGTGACCAGGTGGGAAGTGAGACCACATGAGAAAGTTGGTCTCACTAGTGCTACCAGTGAAAAAGTTAGTCTGGAACCCTGCTTATGATTACAAAAGACCTCCAACATGAAGACAGGACTGTTTAGGACACCGTGTACGATGGTTTTACTTCAGGCAGGCATGCTGTCACACGCAGAGTCACAGTTTATCAGCTACAGTTTTATCATTTGTTTCATAGCAGCTGCCTTGAGGTTGAGTCCTGATCTCCACTACAGCTGTTGGGATATTGTTTTACTGTTTATATAGCAGTAGTCATCACAGACGGTGTGTGTTTGGGACATCAGAAACAAACTAGAATATTAGTTATTGGAACAGTTCAATAAGCTTGATACAATAATGATAATAAATAATTGATCAGATTTATGTAGCGCTTTTCTAGACACTCAAAGGCGCTCTACATTGTCAATTATTCATTCACACACATTCATTTTGGTGGTGGTAGCTACGATCGTAGCCACAGCTGCCCTGGGGCAGACCGACAGAGGCGTGGCTGTCATTCTGCGCCTCCGACCACCACCTCAAACAATCCATTCATATGCATTCACACATGGGCTCTTTTTGGGGGGATTTTATGGCTTGTGCAGGTATAGATCTACAAGTGGGATGTTTAAGAAGGGGGTGTGTGAGGAGTTCTTGAGGATGATGTCGAACTTCCCGAAGAGTATCCACTGCTGAAGCTGCTTTTACTACCTTTCCCAGCTGAGGATGAAGACGAGGAGGAGGAGGAGGAAAGGGGAGGCTGAACGATTGGCCAAGTCTACATTTAGTTTACTTTTGTCTAGATTTAGTTTGGTTTTGTTTATTACTGCATTATTATGCAATCTGAGTCACTTGATGTACTGATCAATCTCATGTGTGTTACTCATGAGTTCCTCCTCACTGTCACGGGTAGAGCTGAATAAACCCTGAAGAACAATCATGTAAAAGTGCTCCAACTCTGAATGATGGAATTCTGTGACTTTTGGAGAGTGATGAGGCGAGCATATATGACATGACCGAAAAGTGCTAAATGTCTTGTTTTGTAGTCTTATATCTGAAAGAATGAAATTTCTAGGTGTTTTCCCAGCTACTCCACTGAGTAGAGAGGAACCTTGGCCATGGCTCCACCTGTCTTGACTAACCGGTGATTTCAATTATCCAGTCTACCATCTTGTTTACATTCCAGCGTGCAGTTCCTTATTGCTGTTAGGTAGTTAAATCTGTTTTCATCTACAAAACACATTAAAAAAAGAGAACTTTGTGTCCTGTGCCCAAAGTGCCACACTTTGCCTCAATGGAAACAGCTCATACACTCGTCCCAAATGTAGTCCTAATTCAATTTTCAATGGATTTTTAAAAATGGAAACTGTAAGTGATACAGCTCGGACAGATCATATGCACGCACTGACCAGACAACAGGGAAAAGGATGGCTCCGCAGCAGATGAGGTCGACCAGAAAGAGGATCTCCTTCCACAGATAGTATTCACTGGAGCCTTCCTCGGTAGACTCGATGATGATGTAGGCGACATTAGCGAGGACCTGGAGGATGGTGGGTGAGTGAGTCATCAGAAGATCTTCCCATAAAAGACAAAAACATCCCACAAATCTCCTGTTTGTCACTCATGCACACACACAGTACCTGCAGAGGAATGACAATCATGAAGATGTTCTTCTCCTTGTCAGACAAGATGTATTTGACGAAGGCCCAGCCGGTGCCAATCAGAGCCAGTGTGATGAACAGGAGAGCCCCTTTGAGCCTGGGAGGTACATAAAGATAAAGTTTGGTGAAAAAAACAAAAAAAAAAACAACAACACTAAACACTGTATTCTGCAGAAGTTGTACTTACAGATGTGTTATATAATACATGACAGCCCAGCCTTCAATAGGATGGCCCTCGGTGTTGATGAAGTGATAGTTGATCTGAGGGAGACAGACAGAGCAGGTGAATGAAAGGACAGAATGCAAACACAAGAGAAGAGATGACAATCTGCGCTGTAGTGACGGTGCTCTTACACTGTGGAAAACCAGGGACGTGGACTTGGTGAACGCCAGCGCTGCCATGAGCCAGTGGATCTTAAACACGCTGTACCTGTAAACAAGCGGACATGGGGAGATGTTTAAATGTGTCATGCACCACTGAATCTGTAACTCCTTGTCAATCATCGTTTTTGAGGTTTTCTTTTTTTTTTAGGTCGGTCACACTCACAGTTGAGACAGTGTGGGTGGCTTTTATCGTCTCACAGTCATTTTTTAAAAGCATATTTAGATTTATTCTTTAAAATATTTGGCAATGAAAACTTTTAACTGAAAAAAGTCAGAAAAGTCGACGGTATTCTTAACATTTACTGCACAGTTCTGGTGATGAACAGCATTTGTTTTGGCTCAAAGAAAATTCCCCAGCGAGGACCACAACCTCAGTAATGGTGCATACTGATTGAGAATGGTGGCGAAAGGATGAGAAGGATGAAGCTGAGTAAGATACTGCATTTTGAGGAAGGCTTCATTGGGGGTCAACTGCAGCTCTCAGGCTTGGCAAATCCCCAAAGAAAGCCTTCCTAAGAATGCAAAGAAGGTCTGTTGCAAAGAAGCTGTAACCGGTGGGTAGCTGGCTGGTTTGGGAAGACCAGCAACCAATGAACTTAATTAGGTGGTTTGAAACTCATATGTTTGAAGCTGATGTGGCTGCTTCATTGCTGAAGAAGTGACCACAAAAGAAGTCAAGGGAAATTCCATACATGAAGAGGACCTGAGTCAAGTGAATCAGGTGGCAACGTGGCCAGATGTGACGACATCACAGTCAGTAAACGCTGCTGTGACTTCAACCTGAAAAAGGATTGTTTTGCGTTATGGTGGCAGACTATGAACTCTGGGAGATTATAAGGAGTTCAAATAATCTTGCTTTTATTTCAGAGCACTGACAATAATTTCTTCTTCTCTGTGTAGACCAACTACAGTCCATTCTGAGGTGTTTGACTGGGAATTACCTTCAGAAAACCTAACTGATATGTGAGAACAGGGATGACCACTGGGACTACTGTGTTGAGGTGAGCTGGTATTTCCAGAGTCCTGCGTTTCTCGGATGCTTGTCAGTGGAAAAAAAAACAGAGGATATGATGTTTGTACAGGAGGCTTCTACGGATCGTTGATCTTCCTCAAGTGGACCTTCTAAGGTGGTACAAAGAAAGGGCGAATGATCAGTGTCGCTATTCAACTGAAGGGAGCGAAGAGAAGATTGCAGAGGAATGGATACGACTGACCTAATTATTGGACTGTGGCGAATTTGGTGTTGTGATGGTTCCTCAGTGCTTCGACTGGCATTTGGCAGGGTTTCTAGGCTGACCTGGGCTTCTTCATCAACGATTCCAGGTGTTTGTGGGTTTTCCTGGATTGCCGAGAGAGTACCTGCTTGAACTGGGCTCAAGAGGTTCTCTCCAGTTGAACTGAGGGACACGACTTCTTAAGACTTTAAACTAAACATTAGGCAAAGCCTGAAGCTTGGAAAGCGGTGTAGCGTTTTGTCGATCCAAGCATGGAAAACCAAAGCAAACATGTGCGCAGGGCATGAGGCATTATTGGCACTTGACAGGAAAGTGAGTCGTTGAGATGTGACACTGCACCTGAACTTCACGTAAAACTGTTTTCAATGAAAAAGCAGTCCTCAATGTATTTGGTAAATGTTTTGGGCCAACATCCTGTCTGACTTCAGCAGGAATGCTTAATCATACCGTGACACTGCAAGATTAACCTCAATCACCGACTACATAAAAAGCATTTCATCTTTCAGTCGTCCATCTGACATGTGTTTGACGAAACAGATACACTCTTAGGTTTATCAATCCAGCGGTCTACAACTAGATTGTATAACTACATAAGTACAGTGATCAGTGACCGCCTGTGTAGACATTGTGCCACATTGGTTACAAAATGTTGTTTAGTGGGAAGTTACTGAACAAGAAACAGTGCACAATCATGCTCCTGTCAGAAAGTTTGACTCTGTGGCCTGTTGCTGTGGCATAACAAGTTCATCTTCAGGTAAGCTTACACGCACTGTAAAAGAAAACCATCAGCAATTCAGGAGCAACCTGTTCGTCAAGTGGAAAGTTGCTTAAGCAAAAAACAGCATGAAAAAGATTTAAAATCATATTTGTTTGCCCACCATCTGTATATCTAACTATATTGGAAAGTAGATTTCTCTGCAAGAAGCTGGTATGTTTTATTAGAGTTTTCTCCTTGCTCCAGCTTAGGCTGCAGAAGAGTCTGAAGAAAGCCATGCGAGGGGTAAGAGTCTATGGATGGCAAGGTCTGTTGGTCAGTACAGCAACAAAATGTTTTCGGAGATATTGGATGGAACTGGAAGGAATTGACTGGATGGTGATTTGGGAATTTATGTTTCTTGTACTTAAACTTGTCAAACTGTGGTACCTTCAGGTCAAAATATTAATTTGTCTAAAAATTTGGTTTATAACTACATATCTGCAAAACTAAAGACAATCCCATCAGGCTAAGCTAGACTCTGGATTTAGCGCTAATTAGCAAATGTTAGCATGCTAACTCTCCAAGCTAAGCCAGTTACCATAATAAACATTGCATCATCTACGTTAGCATATAAGCGCTATAGTTGTGAGAATGTTAGTCTGCTGCCAGTAGCTGATAAAGCTCAACGCTACAATGTGCCTAAATAAGGCCTCTCACAGCTGCTAGCATTACTGCACAACCTTAGTCTTCTTAGGGTGTTGTGAACACTTCACAAGACATGCAAAGACAACATGAGTACACACAGGCTGTAAAGTGACTGGGCAATTTTCAATAAGGAAGTTGGAGGTTTCTTTTTTCAGTGCAGACAGTATTCATGTATGTGTGCCTGTATGCATGTGCACCTGTGTTTCATGAGGGTGTACACCCAAACCATGGCAGCGGTGAAGAAGACTCCAGCCATACAAATGTAAAGGCGAGACAGAGGAATTTCAGCTGCAGACAGGAAGCCATCGAGATTCTTCTCTCTCACGTCCACCTGCAGTGTGAACATTCAGGGTAAGATGTCGTACAGCAGCACATACACATAGTAACACAAACAAACAAACTCAGCTCACCGTGAATGAGTAGGGCTGTTTGGTTCCAGGCACCCGGTTCTGACAGTAGTGGAACTTGAGCGTGTACAGACCCTGTGCCTTCGGGCCAATCTCCATGTGGAACTGTAGAGGAAGGACAAAGAAAAGTCTTCACTAAAAAGTAAAGCCAATTAAACATTGCATCAGATCACCTATGATGGGAAAAAGGTGTACTTACACTAAAGTTGTAACTGCCGTTATTTTTGTCCAAAGCTAAAATCAGGTGGGGATGCGTCTCCAGCTACAGGAAAATACAGATTAGAAACCCATTCCATGAAGAGATCACAAAACAAGACACACAAAGACCTCTTACATTGAATGTATTTTCCTCCTCTTTCTTAGATTCGACTTCAGGGTTTGTTTTTTCTTCTTTGGTCTTAACCGGAGGTTCCTCACTCTTCTTGTCAACTTCTGACTGCTCGTGTGGCTCGACTGTCTTTTTGTTTACATTCTCTGGTGTTTTATCCTGGGTATCTCTGGCTTTCCTCTGACCTAGAGGATACAAATGCAGGTACAAAGCTCAGAGTGCAGTCTGCTTAAACTGATTCCATCATTCATTCTGGTGCTTAAATATAACTGCAAAGGCAAGTAAAATGCAGATTTTTTTTTAGGAAGTGTAAAGTGAGAACAACACTCACCCTTTGGCTTTGCTGTCAAGATGTTGTCTTGAGTACCTATAGCTTTCATATTGACACTACACAAACACAAACAATCAGTCTTTACATCAAGCTGTCAGGCATTGAAATACAAACGTCTAAATACCAGTGCTGAAGCATACTCACCTGAGGTCATTGATATCAAAAAGAAAAAGAATGAGAGGCTCATCATTGGCTGACTTTGGACTACTGAGCGGGCATATCTCCGTCTCCTCTGCCTAGAGGATAAAAACAATCACAATGAACACTGACATTTAAACATCTCACCTCAAAAGCCACCCTGTTTTATAAATAATCTGATCAACAGTGTCTTGTAATAAATGTTTTATAACTGAGGATGTATATCTAAAGTGTTCCTGGAGTGCATAAAAGCATGGCTAGTTTTAAAATGTCTGAAAATAATCCAGTGTAACGTTCTCAGGAATATGTCTGATTGTATGTACTTACTGTGTAGGACAAAACTCCATTAACCCGGGACCTGGACAGGCTGAAACCCACCTGAAGAAAGTGTAAATGTAGTCACTGTATTTAAAGGCACATTATCTCTAATATTGTTTACCGTCTCTAGGAAACAATATTTCTCTCCTCACTGCCTCGTCCTAACTGAATGCCGGCTGGCTCCAATGTAAGACTATTCAGGGTTTTTCACAATGACCAAAGTAAAATTATCTTTCAAAACACATGTTAATATTAGCAGCAAGTTTAGGGTTTGCCTGGACATGTATGCTTGCTTATTCTTGTGCTTAGAGAGCTGCAAATAGCAATCATTTTCATGATAGATTAACTAAAAATGTATTTTCTCCATAATAATATTAGTAATAACTATTTTGTTTGGAAAAAAACAAAATTGACAAGAGTCCAAGGTGACAGGATTAAATGTCTTTTTGTATTTAAACAGCACTTCGAAACAAAGGTACAGGACAAGCTGACAACAGGGATTGTTTGACTATTTTTGCGCAAAAAGTGCCTGAAGTTATGAAGGGGAGTCTCTGTTATTTATATATCACATTTAAAACAACTAAACAATTATCGAGGTTATCAGACTGACCAGTCTGGTAGGTAGTTTCTGATAGACTAATGCACAAACTTACAATTTTATACACCTTTTCTTAATTTAATAAACAGCATCTCCACTGAATGAAGCAAATATAAAAACATGTAAGGAGATTTGGCGGTATGAAAAAAGGTTTGTGCTTTGTCTGTCTGGTACTGTTAACAAACCCAACAGGACCAAATCAAACTATTCAAACGTATTACTTCGGCCTTCCCTGAACACTTTCTGACCTTGTACCTCCGACTGAGGCCTTCAGGCCAAAGTGCAGGACGTAACTTCTCATTTTAAAAAAAGCAGATTACAAATATATGGGTTAATTTTACATTAGTAAATTCATATAAACTGCTGATCACTTTATTTAAACTTTAACCTGCTAGACGATGCCTGTGATGGTCATTCTCAGTAAACAACTGGGCAATGCCTATGTTTGTCATATTGAAGATGCACATCACCCAGTGCAATGGTGCTGATGTGTTTCTTTAAATAGTTTTTGGACACTGAAATGGAGCTGTATGACTTCAGCTTTGGCTTGTGTAGGATTGTGTAAGATCATTGTAACACACATGTGCACTGGACTGTAATTTACCTAAAGCCACAGACACTGTAGAATAAACATTCACAAGTTTAAATATAGTAACCAGCTGTTTCTTTATTAATTTACTAAGACTTGAAGAAATGAAACCATATATTGAACATAAATAGAAGCATTTGGAAGCACACGGTAACACCTGTTGAAAACTACATTGATGGATGAACCAAGCCCAACAAACACACACTGACAAAAAAAAAAAGTACAAACTCTTCTTACCGGGTATACAGTGTAGTTCACCTGCTGCTGTGCAAGTCGCAGGGAACGCAGGTTGACATCCAAAGTTCCGTTTGCGTAGAAACCAAAGTTGTTGAGGTCGACGGCAGACCGAATTTCATCCTGGGAAGAACAAACAAGGAGAGCTCAGTTGTGATAAGCTGTTCAGTCGTGTAACAGTTAAATGGAGCTCCTGTACACGTTCTCATAAGCATTCAATTAAACCTTTCTTCAAACCAAGTTTCACAACGTCGCACCAACACGACATTGTGTTTGGACCGTCATCCGTCATTGACGCTAATTAAAGCTTACTAGCTAGCTCATAAAATGCCGTTTGGAGGACTCTGAGCAGCGTAACGCTCCTTAGCGTTAGCCTCTTAGCTAACGGTGACAGAACACTAGTTTGTCGCCTTACCTTCAGTGTGAGCTGGTGTATCCTGGCTTTGCACCCACACAGCAGTATAAGGAGTAAAAATCCAGCCACAAAACAGCTCCTGTGTGCCTCAGCCATCACCAGGCAGAAACCAACTTGCTAACGGTAACCAAGTGCTAATGTTAGCGAGCTACGATCCTGCCAGATGGCTAAATAGCAAGCTGGCTAGCCGTCTGCACGGTATACGAAGTCAGTTACTGTGAGGTTAGCCTTCAAATTTAGTGCAGCAACACCCAAATAACGTCGTTTACTGTCAGATTGTGACCATTAACATGTTGTTTTCCGGTTCTTTTGTGTTTTCATCGCGTAAGGTAACAGCTTGTAGATGGCAAGATCTCGCTTCCTGGTGTTGAATACAAGAACAAAATATTCAGCAAGGTTCGGACACAAGCGTCAGCTGCGGGTTTACAGCAGATACATCGCCTAAGATGCGTATCGGCGGACCACACAGTGCAGCCGATCTACGAAAACAGAAGAAATGCGAGTTATAAAAGGTCTCCACATGAATAGTCCACCATCGTGTCTTAATTTTCGGTGCAAACAATGGAGTTTCTCACTTCCACGGTTTTGACTACACCTTGAACGAGTTGTCCTAGATGTGGTCACGTGACTACTCTTTGACACTCAGCTTCCGGCTGAAGTCGTTCAGATGAGTGGAATGACCGTCCACGTCGGATGAAGTCCCCGGGTTGCCATGTCTGCACAGATCAATGATGGTCAACCCTTTGACACGTGGAACTTTAGCTTTATATTTAGATTAAAAAAACTCACTCTGTGTGCCACCAAACTACCAATGTTCTAATGTTAAATCCGATCCATTAGATGGACAAAACAAAACAAAACGCAAAATAAGTTTTGTTTTGTTTTTTTTTTTTTTTTCATTTTTCTGATTCAATCCAGACTTGACAGATTTTATTTTATTTGTATTTTTTTGGAAATCACAGAGCTATTGCAAGGAGCAACATTTGTGTGAGGACTGTTGATGTAAATACACCAGATCTATAAAATTATAGGTAACACCTTTCGACAAAGATGTCCACACACACTGTGTATCAGTAGATCAGGTTTATAGCCCCTCCTGCATTTATGACTTTGTGTGGCCACCGTGGACAGGTATCTTGAGGGAGAATTGGGAGTCATCTTTTTAAGAGCCCATATTACACTTTTCAAATCAAATCAAATCAAATTAAATTAAACTTTATTTATGTAGCACTTCTCATACAAAAAAAACAACACAAAGGGCTTTAGAGCATTTAAAAATATTGCAAAAAAAAAGAAAAACTGAAAAAAAGAAAACCCATTCCTCTCAGCCTCCATACACGCACAGCTACATATACACTCACACATACTCACACACATACACACACTCACACACACTCTCACCGTTGACCATAGGGAGACATGGCATGGCACTGAGGATCGTGGAAAACACCACCATTGGGGCCGTCCACACCGGGAGGACTTGCCAATGGTGACATTTTCCATATTACGCTTTTTGGGTGTCTCTCTTTTCTTTAGTGACTTATAGCTTTTTTTTTTGGTACATGTAAAATTTACAAAGCCCATGCCAAAGCGAGTTATTCTCCCACAGAAAACTCTGTTCCTTACCTGCCTGAAACACCTTGTTCTGTCCAGGCTGACGTTTACATCATCCTGTAACATATTTGCACAACACCTGCCTCGTGGCTACTTTGGCCCACCTTCAAACAAAGAATGAGCAGCTTCCTTGTAGTCAATCTGTACTCATTATCCTGCATTTCAGATCGTATCCTGTAAGGCCACGTGTCCACAAGGGTCTGCATGGCTTAGGTCATCCACGCAAGCCTGTGTGGACAGCCATTGGCAGCCTAAATTTTGTGGGTGAGCGGAGTGTCCACACTGCAAGGATATCAACTGAACATGTGATAGGAAAACAAATGGTACTTAAAACAGAGGTTCTGAGATTAACTCATAAGACTCCGTAGCATTATTCAGCACAGCACAACACAGATGCCCACCAGAGCTCCACTGTTGTCTAATGATCAGCACCATTATTCCTTAATGAGCATGAGCAAATGCACACTGGTGTTCAAAGAAGGTGCATCACCCCTTCAAACTGTATGTGTCATCTGAATAATCAAAGGCGATATTTCTTGCATTAGATAAGAATGACGTGTAGATGATGATGTTTTATTGCCTCAGCTGTAACTTTCAGCTACGTAATCACACTCTGCTGGCTCTGCAGTCATACGAGGCCTGTGTCGTCACGCCACCTGGTGGAGCAGACACATACATTTTATGTTTACCAAAACTGTTAAGGCTGTAAATTGAGAGCGGCTGTCAAATATTAGTTAGCGTTGCCTTAATTATTAAGTTATCTTCATCAATCGTCATTAATGTAACAAACAATCATGAAAAAATTTCATCTGGAAATGTGAAATTTCGAGGTGAAGCACACACACAAATTCCAGTTTATGTTAGAGGACTTAAAGGCTGGGAGTGACTGAAGCACTTTGTTTAACAGTCCCCTCTTAAAAATGCACATGTGAAATGAATGCAAAGCACATATTCTGACCACAGCATGGATTTTCTTCTGACTGTGTCTCTTTTTGTACTTTAAATCATTTTTTTCTCTTGTGAATCCTTTGACCAGCTGTTAACTATTCTCTTAAAGGCAGGATTTGTTTAGAGTTACACAGACTTTGTACAACAGATGCATATGTACTGCTGTCACTAATCATGCAGGGGCATTCGACTAAATAAATATTTAAATAATCAGAGTACACCTTATGACAAAGTGCAGGAAAGACATTTACACAAATCTGAAAGATGCAGGAGGAATAAGGATTTTTAAAGGTACAAAGTATGCACATAAAAAATATAATAAAAGTCAGATAGAAACTAACAACTTCAAGCTAAAAATAGAGAAGTCAAAGAAAAACTTTACATCCTGCTTCATTTTCAGAAGTGGTTTCACACTGAGACTGTGGCTCATATCAAGTCATGTCACATTTTTGTGATCCAGCAACAAATAGTTTTACATTACATTGTGTCGCATCACATAACACTCATGGTCATTATTGGATGACCTCATATACAGACAGAGAAGTGCTCAAAACTACAATAGAAAGGCTTAAGAGGTGTTTTGTATGTTATTGTAGTTTCTAGTCTTTTTCTTCATACAAACATTTCCACTTCTAAAAAAAAAAAATGTCTCCAGATTTAGCCAGTAACAGCTGCAAGACTGTAAGATCTAAATGAACAACCCCACAGATTTATTTCTCCCCTCTTTGAAAAATTCTAGAAAAAAATAACATTGATTTTCATCTAATCAAAACTCTATAGAGCAAAAAGCAGCCATACAGCAATCAGACATGAAGGGATGCTACGTCAGTTTTATTCTTAGTGGTACCAAGCAGCCTGCTGACGGATAAAACGTGGTCCCTGTACAGACATCTGCATGATGGAGGAGGTTAAACACACAGTACTTCACATTAAGTTCTTCTGTTTAGCATTTAGGTGTATGAAAAGAAAATACAGTAAAGCACAGCTACAGTGATAACAAACTATGTCTTAATGGGAGACATTATAGCAAATTCTGTACCGTAAAAACACATTTTAAACGCCCTCATATCTGTTGACAAATTCGCTAAAATGTGTTATAAATATCTGTATCGAGCGTACTCTGACTAAACAGTGGAAGTGAAATGTCAAGTGTTACCACAGACGATTATACAGTCATGAGAAAATACCTCATTTTAATTGGCTGGCAGCTGTTATTTAAAAAAGTACATAAACATCTGAAGGTCTCCCACATGTAGATCTGTAGGTTTCCATGCTACATGGATCATGTAATTGTATTTGGTAAAAAACTAATAATAATAATAATATAATCATATAATGCCCCACCTGTTATAGTTATCTTGGTGTATTTCATGTGTTTATTTATAGTTGTGGATGGTTACATTCAGTGGTCCAGTGGTGCTGCTGCTGATCATCGGGGCGACGAGAATAGCTCCTTGCTGAGCTGATATTGTGGCTGCAGGAGCTGCAGCAGCAGCAGCAGCAGAGGGGCTCTGAGCAGAGGAGGAGGTGGAGGGAGCAGCTGGTCTACTCTCTGCAGGTGAAAAGACACAGAAGAAAAAGTTAATACAAAACACGTGGTCACAGGCTGGGAAGAAGCAGATTGTTGGTTGCAGGTAGAGTTTAAGAAACGCATCATTCTCCTCACCAGCATACTTGCTCCTCAACGTCTCTGCTAAATCGTTGATTGTCATCTTCTTCAGGATCTCAACAGTGAGGCGCACAGCCAACTCTTCACCGTAGCTCTCTGTCAGCTTAGTCACAGTTACAATCCGGCACGCTTTCTCCAGACGTGACCTCGGAAATGGTTTACATTCGGCCAAGATGTCCATTGTGCAGTACCACTGAAAGGTTTTTAAATCATCGTCGATCAGCTCTTCCAGAGTATTGAAGAGCAGCACTTTAACCTGCATGTCTGCTCACTGAACAGACAGAAAGGGGGAAATTAGTTTTCAATTTACTTTGTCAGTCTTTGACTTGAAAGGAAAAACTGGCTTAAAGTTGAGAAGATCTTTGAGACTCAGAAACAGACTCTCACATCTGTCCATGTTTGAAACTGTCTTTTCGAACCCTAACACCTGGAGAGGGACTTCAAAAGTCAAAGTCCTCAAGTTTGTTGTTCTGAAACGTTACTAACTTATTAATAAATAGTGCAAAGTTTAGCACATCATGGTGTTTTCAGCAATTAATGCTACTGAATGAGTCAGGAATTTATCGATTTCAAGTGAAGTCAATAAAGAGGTTTTCCACTCTGTAGTACACAACCAGCAAACACTAGTAAGACATTCATCAGGGCAAAAACAGCTAAATCTGCTTCTGATAATGCATTTTGCTCTGCCTTTTCCAGAGACTAGGTGGTTAAAAATACAGTGGAGCTGATGGCCTACAGGGAACTTCAGTGGTTTAATATTCTGTTTTATTCTGTGGAACTAACACACAGACACAAAGTCAGACGACCTGATCTGACTTGAACCATGAACTCCTTCATCTCCCCATCAGCCTCAGAGGATCGACACTGTTCATACAATAAATGGTTTAAATCTCCATTGACAGAGCTGCAAACACACTGACAGTGAGTTCAAACAGAAAACAACTTCATTGTTATCATCAGACCGCAGCTCAGAGTCTGGCTGTTTGGTTCTGAGGAAGCAGCTTCTCATCACAGCCACAGGGTGAGAATAAGAAAAAGATTTATAGATAAGATCAGAGGTCTTACCGTGTGACCAGCAGCTCCAAACCTTACGGTGTAAAATCTCTTTGTGAGGAAGAAATG